CTGTTTTCTCTCATTCTTGCCATACGACTAGCATGCTTGGGCGACTTTTTGCATGTTCTTTTAGCACTGCGCAAGTGCTGCCCTATATTCCATTTTGTCCGCTTGCTGCTATCTCCTATTTTTGCGACACCACTATTTTAGCCAGCCACTTTTAAAATATTGCTCAAATCCGAAGTTTTCATGAGGATTTATTGAACTAAATTTTAGACTGTGATAGCATTTGTTCGTTCTTATGAAGGCAGTCTTTTGCAGACATCCTTGGCGGAAGGCAAGATGCTTCAGCAGCGTGTTGAAGAGCTGCGTAATGAAACTGCTCAGTTATCGGAAATCATTGAAGAAATGCGCGATAGTGGAAGTGCTGTTGGCGGTGATGCATCAGCTGCTCATTCACAGAGTGCTGGAAATGTTCGCGAAAATGGGAACGGTAAGGTTTTAGGAACACAGAGAAAAAATGTTGAGGTCTTTGAAATGGATGCTGTTTTTCTATTTGCAGAATGGTTCACGTTTTGCACTTCAGAGAGATAAATTTATTCAGTTGTTAGGAGATAATAGCTGACTTATTACACAGAGGTGGGAATCATGAACAGATTTTCGTCTGGTAATAATATACGCAGAAAGGGCAAAATTCTACTCAGATTGACATTAGCATTCAGATCTGGCCTCATTGCAAATATCCCCATGTTCGACTGTGTTCCACTTCGAGGCGGGAAACTGGGAGTGCCAGTTCACGTAAGATGGCTGGGATGGTCCTGAGACGTTTCGTGATTTATGTCAGACAATATTTTTGTATTTGACAAGCATTCGTTCAGGTGAGAATGGTTGGTCGGATTTCGATGAGTTTGATGTGGATAGTCATCCGACTGCTGTGGAGAGGCCAAAAAAAGGGCGCTCACCATGTGCTCCGCGGTCATCGCCTGCTGATATCTTGGAAGTTGCAAGGCTGAGAGCACAAATGAAAAATCTGGAGGCTGATTTAGAACAAGCAAAGTATGGTTTCAGTTTTCTACATATTGAGATTAGGGAAAAATTGACTTCTGGTGTGCCTTAAAGTTGTATTTCTCCCTGTCTGTGCGGATTCTCATCAAATGGAGTTAGGTTTCAGGTCCGCACGAAGTTAGATCAGGGAGAGTGTGGATTTATGCTTCACGAATCCACAAGTTTCTTTTCCTTAAGGTAAAGATATTTGAGAGCTG